TAGGATGTTCACAATTAAGTATTTTTTAGTTTAAGTATATATTTTTTTAAATTTTCAGAAAAATAATGAAAAAATACCTGACTTGGATTGAAATTGGATTTTTTAATGAAACGTCAGGTCGTAATTTTTATACAATTGCGAATGGGAAAGCATCGATTTATTCAGATTTGTTTAACATTATGTAACAGCTAGCTAGCTAACTGTAAGAAGGTTGGGAAATGTTTTGCAGAATGGTATCGATGTTTATAACGCCCAGGCAAATGACTTTTTTCTGTTACGTACATCATTTCAGTTTAGTTCAAATTAATAAGACGTACTAGAATATAGTAAATGTAGAAGGATTGCGTGAGAGAGAGAGAGAAAGAGAGAAAGAGAGAGAGAGAGAGAGAAAGAGAGAGAAAGAGAGAGAGAGAAAGAAAAAGAGTGAAAGGTTGTATGTGTGTAGGTGTGTGTGTGAGTTTGTTGATATCATGTTCATTCACGCACGACACAAAGGAACTGGTGTGAAAATAGTATTACAAGAGACGTAGGTTGTTGGGCTGTATGTAGTCTGTCAGATGCAGACGCTTGAAATAAACGTGCAGCAATTCATGTTCGCCATGCTTAGCCTATCTCGTGTGAATTATTTATGTGGCTCTTATTTATGACTTAACGAGTTCAAATGACGCCGACATTTGAATGTCAAATTTTAAAATAACTACGTCAATAAAAACAACAACAATAACCATTATAATAATAATAACGATGCATGAATGATGGCTAAAATAGCAACAACAATAATAACAGGTGTGATGGATTGGTTGGGAAAGCCTCAGTAGCTGACATTTCATATGAATGCATTACGGACACATTAGTGATCTGGGCGTTACGTGAAATGTGCAGTTCAATGATTTATTGCAAATTCTGTATAGATACAGAATCTGTATATAGATACGTACTTGGATTAAAATTAGATTGTTTATATATATATATATATATATATATATATATATATATATATATATATATATATATACATATATGTTGGTAATAGACCATAATTTTTACAATATTCTATAAATTCTACCGAATGTTTGGCGTTAATATGTTTGTAGTTCGTTTTTTCAAATTTTTCTCACTAAAGTTTTTTGGTGAACGTTTAGTTTAATAAAATTCAAAATAAACTTCCGAATTCATGCTGCCAATATATATATATTTATTTGGCGTATTATGAACAAGTTTTTCATAGGGAATGTATAAATGTATTTGTTATTATTGGGCTTAACCATTTCTAACTGGAGTCTTTCTAGGTTGAGTGACCAACTGATATGACAGAACACTCACTGGTCATGGTCAGTTGTTATTCGTTCATAAAAACTGACAACTCTTCAAGTAGATTAAACAAAATGATTGATGTAAACTGAAATTTCTTCTAAAGTTTTGTAACTTAATTGTGCGCGGGTTAATATTTCATGAGTTCAGACTTACATTAAGCTAGTCATATTTTCAAAATAATAATATTGTCTCTATCTCTCTCTCTCTCTCCCTCTCTTTTATTTTCTCTTTCTCTGTTCTCTGTTCATTTTTTATATGTGTGTGTTTGTGTGTGTGTGTAGTGGGAGAGAGAGAGAGAAAGAGAGAGAGAGAAAGAAAGACAGTAACCGTGTGTGCTAAACATAATAATATATATTAGAAATGGAATGCGGCTTACAAATTTGTCAAAAAATCTAATTCTAAATTTTTATATTAGATTTTTGACACTTAAAATAAATGAAGCTGTACGTGCAGCCTTTTGTTCGCCGCGCAAATGCTATTATGTATAGAATGGCACCCTCAAATCTGTGCTTCTATTTTTTGTTGTATCATGTTTTTATCATTTTTGTATCATGCTTGTATTATCTTTGTATCACCTTTGTATCATTTTTGTATCGCGTTTGTAACATGTTTGTTTGTTTCATGTTTTTATCATGTTTGAAGTATATTTGTATCATCTTTTTTCATCCATGTATAATCTTTTCTAAAATTATGCTGGTACGTTTCTACATGTTTGTATGCGTCCATTTATATGTTTAAATTTAATAAAAAATTTTTTAAAGTTGTAACAAGTATTACAGTTAAGGTAATAATCGCACAGTTTGAACTTGGCAGGCAAGCCCAACAGTTAAAGTTACTGCTTCATATAAAGTAACACGAATTTAACAAAATTAATGGAACAAATGCTTCATTGTTCATAAAAATATCCTCACGTATATCAAAAAGATTAAAAATAGTTGAAAAACAAATTGGCAAATAAAAATAAATGTAGGTCGACAATTAGTTATGCCTCGGATGAAATATGCATCGTATGACTCCTTACGTGCTTGTTGCATTTTTCATTTGCACATAGACACGAAAGTATGATTTGATTGATGCCATTCATTAAGAAAGATATTGACGAAGCTATTGTGCAATCTTAATTAACTTGCTTGTTGCCTATTTCTATATTTTTATCAGTGTTTTAATTGTCTTCGTTGCTTATTACTACTTTTTATGATTGAGTAACGAAAATTTTTTAAAATAATAAAAACCAAGGTATTTTATACAAATTAACATTAAAAAATAACTGTAAAAGAATCCACCATTCACTATCTTATTGTGATCAATTTTTGCATAATTTTGAAAATGCTTTCCTGCTTCTAACGTGATGGAGTTGCATGATTTGATTTTATTATACTATGGCATCATTGCTTGTATGCTCGTACCATCTCATTATCTTATCTTGCTAACAATTCTTGACTTCATATGTCTGTGTGTGTGTCTGTGTGTGTGATCGTGTGTGTGTGTTTGCAAATATGTACGTATATATGTACGTATACCTGTTATTTAACCCCTAACGAGCAGACACACGTGCGTCAAGTTCCGACAGAGAGATTGGAAAGTATGGAGTGTGGCGAGCTCATTAGCGTAACGCGGCTCATATTTTCTTTTATAATTCATGCAAAATAACTGAAAAGAATACACGACAATACCCAAAAATACACAATGGTATTTAATAATACAAAATGATAGGCATTGTTGCAGAGTAATACCATATAGTAGAGAAAGAAGAACAAAATGATGAAACATGTCGGGGTTGGTTTTCGATCGATTGCAAGTAGCAAACCATCAATAAGTAAACTGGAAAACGAAAATGTAGGAATAGATAGATAGCCAGATGAGTGGATAAATGGATAGATTGATAAATGGTTGGATGGTTAAATAGACGACTGGGTGGATATTATGAGTGAGTATTTGGATAAACGATTATTATTGGTTATTTGATTGGATAAATGATAAATGGATTGATAAAAAAATGTATAGATAAATGCTGTTTGGGTGGATAAATGCATGCAAGCATGGATGCATGGACGCATGCGTAGGTATCATTAATGCTATTTTGATAGAAAGGGTCAAGTACATACGCTCCAATCTTTTGCATCATCTTCTATAAATCATGCATGTGTACATGTAAAATATATTGGAAAGTAGAAATATATGAAAAAAAAATTGCTTTTGTAAAGAAAACGAAAATATTGGTAAAAGAGAGAGCGAAAGAGAGAGAGAAAGAGAGAAAGAAAAAGGAGGAAAAAGAGGAAAGAAAGAGGAGAGAGAAAAAATACTTTCGAAGGGATAAATTCGCAAAAACCGAAAAACAGATAAGATGGAGTCGCCCATATTTTTACTTAAGTTAGAAACACGACGGTATAAAAAATTTTATTGATTTGACGTAAAATGACGTGAAATGATTTTAAAATAATAAAAATAATACTAAGAATTATAATAATAATAATAATATTACAGTGACCACTCACTCTTCCGGATCGATCTCTCTCGTTGACTTCTTCGGCAGTCAGTCCATCCTGAATGATGTCATAAAGGGCATCGTCGTCACACTCAATACAGGCATCCAGAAATCTTCGGAATTTATTGTTGGAGGAAAGTTATTTTTATTTTGTTTGCATTCATATAATTGTTTATTTGTTTGTTTGTTCGTCCGTTGGTTTGTTTGTTCGTCTGTTGGTTTGTTTGTTCGTCCGTTGGTTTGTTCGTCCGTTCGTTCGTACGTACGTACACCTGGTTCGATTATCAATACTTTTTATTTTTTGTCATTGCCGTTGCAAAATAGAAATTTTTGCAAAACATTCTAACTAATTAGGATATTAATTAGAATAAACTGAAACAAGCCTCCAAACAACTGGCGGGTCTGCAAAAGTTTCAGAAGAAAATAATTTGTTCCTCCTGAATAAAGAAGTTTCAACGGGCATGAGAGGTTAGTCAGCCAGCATATTCACGACAGGTACTGATAAATAGTTTGCTTTTCAACTGCTCACGACAGATAAAAACAAATTTAAAAGGCTACAAATGTGTTTTTAACTAATAATTAATTTATTTCAAAAAGATTGTATATAAACTGCTCTTAAAAATAACCAATATAAGCAGCTTGTATCGCCAATTTCGTAACATTAACAAAAAAAAATTTTTTTTAATTTTTTTAATTTTAATTAAAACTTTTTAATTTTAAAAAGTTGAGACCGCGAAACGCAAACGTGGCTGAGAAATGATGAAGAAAATATTATCAAAATGATTATCTCAATAATCCTTTTTTAATAAGCGACGTTGTTCTCAAACAGATGGTTCATCTGAACAAACAACATTGTTCACGAACCGATATTTGCCTGAGCAAACAACGTTGTTCACAAACAAACGGTTCATCTGCACAAACAAGTCATCTACAAGATAACACATCTCGTTTGACAAATTGCGTTTCAAATCTCCAAATATTTCCTCAACTTTACAAAGTCATCATTGTCATTTTCTCATAAGGATTTCCTCGATTAATTAATTATCTGCTCGAATGGCACCTGCAGAAAAGTTTTTATATCAGTTTCTTTAATTAAATTTTTGTAATTTTAAAAAATGTTACAGAAGTCAAGATCAGAATGAACACCATAAAACAATGTCATCATCATCATCACCAAAATACTTTTCTAAATAAAATTTTTTCAATAATTTGTAAGATGCCAAGTTTTGGTGAAAATTTTTGTGTAAGACACGCCGAGGATGAAGTAGATGTTGTCGTGTGTTGAAGAGGCTTGTGAGTTTGTATTTAAGCAGAAAATTAAAGTATTATTGTTGAGGCCTTCAAAGAATAAAAATTCAACAACTGGCGGGAGCGTGGGCTTTGTGTATTTGTCACATATGTGGTCTGTGTGTGTGTGTGTGTGTGTGTGTGTGTGTGTGTGTGTGTGTGTGTGTGTGTGTGGTGTGTGGTGGGTGTGGTTGGCGTGTGATGTGGCGTGATGTGGCGTGGTGTGGTGTGGTGGGTGCCGCATATTTTTGTTCAGGGTATGAGGTTATTTCTGTGTAGCATACCCACACGTATGTCTAAACATGTGTTGTATCTTTGAATTGAAATTCTTTGCGATTAAAGAGTTTTTTATGTGTACAAATATTTGATGAAATTTTTGCCTAACTGTGCGTTTGCATAGGCGCGTGTCTGTGCGTTACATTCTATTGAATTGAATTGCATACACATGTGAGTTATTGTGTGCATTCAAGGTGTGTTGGAGTTAATTAAATTTAAATAAACATATGTTTATGTATGTATTGTATATGGACTTGTATATTTGAAAGAGCAATTGTGTATTCACGTATGTGAGCATGCGTGTGTGTGGTGTGTGTGTGTGAGTGTTTTTGTGTGTGCGTGCGTGCGTGGTGACATGAGAGTTATTGTGTGCATTCAAGGTGTGTTGGAGTTAATTAAATTTAAATAAACATACGTTTATGTAGGTATTGTATATGGACTTGTATATTTGAAAGAGCAATTGTGTATTCACGTATGTGAGCATGCTTGTGTGTGGTGTGTGTGTGTGAGTGTTTTTGTGTGTGCGTGCGTGCGTGGTGACATGTCAGACGCAGTTATTGTTTGCATGCGACGTATGGAGGTAGGCTCTCACCTGCTAGCAAGCACTCCTCTTCTCAACGAGATTGCTCTTCTCGAGAGCTGTATTTTTTTTTATTTTCTTTATTTCTGCTGCCTTGGACAGGTTTGAATGGAACGAAAATTTTTGTTTTTCGTATTTTATTAAATAACCGCAAAAATAATTAAACAACTTTTTTTGTCTTTTCAAGTGGAATACTGAAAAAAAAATTCAAAATTCAAAGACTTTCGTAACGTGAGGTCTAAAATATTTAAATCCTGTTTAATTCCATAGCTCGTTATGACTCGTGTAGACATTTTTTAATGAAAGCCTCTTCTAGAAGAGCCGCATTGAATTTTTTATGCGTGGCGTGGTTTCTTATGATAAACAATAACAAAACTGAAAGCTGGATGGAAAACACGTCATCAACACTTCTTTAAAACCTTTCAGTTACTCACTAAAAATATTTGACGACACCTCATCATTGTTGTATATTATGTGTATTGTTGTTGTTGTTGTGTGTTGTTGTGTGTTGTTGTTGTTGTTGTTGTTGTTGTTGTTGTTGTTGTTGTTGTTAGACAGGCCCGGCATATGTTGTCGTGCCATGTTTAGCGTTTGGTTGTATGTTTCTATTGTCTTCCTATTAACAAGCAAATAAGATGATCAAAAATATTTTATTGAAAGTTTCATCTTTCACTCTTTTCAAAGTTTCAAATTTTTAAAATTGTTTGTTTTTGTATTTTAATTCTACAATGTAATTTGTATCATGTTTTGCTTTACAATAAAGAAAAATAAAGTATTCGGATAATTTTTTTTCTAAATGAAAAATTTAAACTTTCATGGTTGCGTGTGTTTTCTACAACAAAATTTATTATGTTAATATATGTGTATAGCTGGTATAACATTTTTTTTTATAAATATTGACAGTATATTTGGTCAAAAAAAAATAATAATATCAATGAAAACGCTTTTGTAATGAAACCCGACAATTTCTGAAACATTTTATTAGGTCGTTTTGTCGAAAAAAATAGATAGATTTTAAGTTTAAGAGAAGAAAAATAAGTTTCAAACCGCCGAGAATTCAGCGCAATATTTTTTAATTAAAATTCTCCAAAGTGTGATTTATTGGGTGAAAAAATGGCGTCCAAAATTGAGATCAATCGAAAAAAACCTTGCTGGTGTGGTTAATGAATAAATATTGCGTTAATGTGATGAGATGATGGTTGATTGATGTGATGATGTGACGTAAAGATTACAATATTTATGTAAAGAATAATTTATTAAGATAATTATGAATATAAAATTAATTTAGCGAATTTTAAATGAATTAGATGGTAATGCTTCAAACCTGATGTCATCATTGGTCAACTGGGAATCGAAACTTGCTGAGTTCATCTGGAAATCTATAAGGGAGGCGCGGTTTTTGTTGTTGTTGTTGATGTTGTTGTTGATGTTTTCACTGTTGTTGTTGATGTTGTTCGTTACGCTTTCGTTCATGATCCTATGGATGTCTGTAGCGATTGTTGATGACGCAAATTGAATTCGATACAGTAATGTTTACGTTGATGTCGTTGTTGATGTCGTCTTCTGTACTCTCAAGGCTGTTGTTACTTAGTGTTGTTTCTTTTCGGATTTGAAAGTTTCATTTTTATGTTGTTCATTCAATGGTGGATTTTTACGAATTAAAATCTGTCTGCAATCTTAACTGCGTTAACTTACATTGCATTTTTAAAAATTGTTTCAGGTTCATAAATTAAATTAATTTTACATAAAATTTATGTATTTTCTAATGACCAGCTATATTTTGTTCAAATATAGATTTAATTTTGAATTAAACAAATAAATTTAAGTAGAAAAAAAGTCATACTGTCAATAAATTAAACCATCGAAAACCAAAAACCAGTAAAAAACAAATAAATATTATAATTATACGTAAAATCAAGCAAACAAACAAACATACATAGAATTAATTTCAAACATCTCAAAAGTCAAACCAACGCAACACGGCACATCTGATGTACATTCCATTTAATTCAGTTTCATTTATAGAGCAACAGTGGGATGTCTCAGTCAGTTGCGCAGCGAATGTATCTTTCGTCTAATTGTCTAAATGTCTCAAGTAAACTAGACCTATATATATAGAATGTATAAGTCTATAAATATATATATATATATAATTATATATATACATATATAACATAATGTGTGTTTATATCATATATGTATTCTACACATATGTTTATAACATAAATATAAATATTCATGTACTTCGTGTATGTTCTACACACCGTAGTTTTTATACTTACATATACATACGCGTTTTTTGTACGTTCCTATATATGAATGTATCCAGGTTTTTTTGTTTGTTAATTGGTTTTGATGTATATCTAACAATTTTTTGTTTGTATTTATGTGTGGACTGATTTGATTATTCTATCACGCTCTCTCTTTTCTTAATCTCTTTCTTTTTCTCTCTCAATCTCTTTCCCTCTCTTCCCTCTTTCACACACAGACACACACACACACACACACAAATAAATATATATAGATATACATAAACGTGGAACCTCATAAATTTTCGTCGGCTTCAAATCACGCGCATGTGATTGCAAATTTTTGTATACAGACACGAAGAAATTGTGAGTGATTCGACTTCGAAAACACAAGTGAATATCTAATATTGATTATTGCATAAACATTTCCGCGTTTTGTATGTGTATGCGTGTGTGTGTGTACGTGTGTGTGTGTGAGTGCGTGCGTGTGTGTGAATATGTGTGGGGTGTGTGTATCATGCCGTATTTTGTCATATTCTCATATTCAATTGATAACATATATGTACATTTAAAAACTGAATTGGTATCTATATATTTTAATTTAATATGCAAGTAACAATGTACATGAAGCCATGAACAGTCCCTAACTTGAAATTTTTCTTTCTTGTCAAGTTTTTAAACGTGATCACCACCACACGGATCAGACGGGGGACTTGACATATCTAACAACACGAACTGAAATGTAAAATAAAGTTATCTAGCACTATTTAGCAAATTTTTTCAATAAAACATGTCAATTTCTACGTGATCGGTTGGATAAAAAATTTGATGGATGATGATTGAGATTTGCCATTTGCTAACATAAACAAAACTGTGTTGCAAGTTTCCAGTTTCCGAAAAATTTTCAAGTTTTTAACACATTTTCATTTTGACAAATAAATCCTTAAGTGGAAAACATTGTAAGATACGGAAACAAATGTAAAAAAAATCAAATTATATTATCATTCCAAATATATCTCAGCGATCAAATATACCAAAAATACTAGATTGAAAGATTTCAATATATGGTGCTATCTATATATAGTGCTATCTATATTTATTGCTACCTTTGGCTAATGTGAAATTATAGTAAGTTAGTTCAATCGGAAGATTTAAAGATATTTTAGAATTTTAAAACAAGTTTACAAACAATATAATCTCAATACTTGAAGCAACAATTGCTATCTTTTATTAAATAAGTTTAATATTTCCCTTTTATTCTTAAAAATATTATACAATTAACAAAGGTGGATTAATTTCAATCACGGCACTTTTTACAAATAAATTGGATGTATGATGGACAAGCACACACGGTAAACAAATGCAAATTTCTTTTAGTATGTGAGTATGGAGTCATTGTAAGTGTGTATTTTTGTAGTTATGTGGGTTATAGAAGCGTAAGCGAAGCGTCACTTTTAAGCATGCCCATTGAAAGCTTTATATTCATTAATTCGTGTGATGTCTGTCTGTCGGCTGGGATGCTTGGAATGCTTACTGTTTCTGTTGAGTTAGCTGCTTTTGTGTTTTTAACATTTAAAGGAGGAAACTATTCTAGATAGAATGTTTTATAGGTTTTAAATTATTATTAGAGCTATCAAATTGAACAATTTTATCAAATATGTAAACAGTTTTGTTAAGCGTGTTTGAAAAATTAATACAAATATCATTTAAATAATAAAAAATTGTAAGTTAAAAAAAATTATTTGTCATTCAAAATAAATGACTTCATTTGGGAAATTAGATTTAAGATACAGGATGACAAATTACTCAAGCGATCCATCATTCCATTATGACGTGACTACTTCATATTTCCTTGTTTCAAAAGAAAGAAAGTACTACTTCACATTGTCATTAAAAAATTTAAAAGTTCACCTATCGCAAACATTCTAGCCAATTTGTTTCTGATAAAATTCTTATAAAGAATTTGAATAATAAATCTTTCTATATTATTCCTGTAACACAAAATATCTTTACCCTATTATTTTTATACATTATCACTGAAAATAGGATCAATCAATTATTTATCAGATAAAAATAAAAAGTTTCCCCTAAGACGGCACCCACAGCCACCAAATGTTACGACACATACTCTTTCACTACACGAACTCAATCAATGATTCAGTCAATAATGATTTATACATAACTCTCATTGACTGGCTCGGCATGCATTCGCTCGTAAAGTTCATTCGCGCTTCATTATTGCCAAAAATCAAGTTTCTTTATTATATGTTGGTCGCAAGGTTTATCTCTTCTTAAAAATTATTGAGGCTGCAAGAAATATCTTTTATTTGATGTAGTTTTTTTATATATAAAAAATGTGAATAAAATAAAAAATTACTTTAAAAAAACCGCTAAACGGAATATTACTGCAAAGTTTTGGTTGGCCAAAAAGTGCTGCAAATTACCTAAAATCAAGTAAGTTGTTTTAGGATGAGCCCATTACGTCTCATGGGGAGGCACCTCCTTATTTGGGAAGCTCCGGGACGTTACCCCGCCTGACCTTGACCTACATTGAATCCGACCCTGTACAATTGTTATCATCGTGGTTTTTTAATGCAAATCACTGTCATCAGAATTACGTCTACTCGTTAGCTGGATAAACTACATCAGTCAGACATGAGACAAAACATGAACGAACGAGGATGTATTTCCACACCGTGACATCGTGTATCAACTTGTCGACTCTCATTAAGTTATTGGTACTGAACTTACGAACATTGCATGGATGGGTTTGAACCGTTTAAACCGTATTCTTACTGTCAGTGTTGTTATTATAATAATTATAATTATTATTAGTGTTAGTAGTATTATTTTTTATTATGTATTTTATTATTATTATCAGTATTCCCATCTTCTTGTTACTTGATTTTAAACATTCTTCGTATTAGCAACATTATTTAAAGTTGAGCCTCGAGACGAAAAGCTAGCACGCACGAGCGTTTAAAAAGGCACATTTCTGTCCATTAACGAGCAAACAACGATTTAAGACGTCAAGTTAAAAACATTGGCATGCTAAAAATACGATGTGTGGTCCGTCTGATACCATAAAACACTAAAACCAACAACAACCAACAACAACCTTGTGATCAAATAACAATGACAAATAACATCAACAACATCAACAAGACAACAACAGCAATGACGACCTCATCATTATCTGTACAGCCATCTGAAACCAAAGAATAAACCACGAAATCTTCGCGATTTATTGTCTTCAATTTTTTCCATGCTCGAATATTTTTTATATTTATTTTATTATTATAATTATTTTAATAAGAATAATTATCTTATTAGTGATATTAATTCTAAATTCATATATTAAAAAAGTAATATAATATAATTTAATTTATTAATATAAAAATAAATGTCAAACACACCTAACTAGATTTTTATAATAATATCTCACTCTAGATATACTGCTTAATACAAATGAAATGATTTACACATGAAATCCAAAATTTTATCATCGAAACATTTTTTAAGAAGATAAAATTGAAGAAAAATCCGTAAGATTATTCTGGTTGAAAAACTTTTCATTTGAGATAACGAATTTTATTAACAGAGGTTTTAATGTATTCTCACATGAAGAATTTTCTTCCTTGGGTTGTTCAGGTTTTATATCTATGTTTTTGGAGACATGGAAAAATTGTTTTGTCATTTTGTTAAGATAATAAAAATGAAATGCAGTTTTAAAAACAGTAAAAATTATTTTTTTATATACAATATTGATAACAAATGGAATACATTTTAATATTAAAGATACGTTCATTCAACAATGTTAAAGACCCATCATCAATGTTGATTTAAAGACCCATCATCAATGTTGATTTGAGGTTATTTTTACAACAGTAGTAGTGTAGTCATACTTCCTAGATCTGAGAACTCGTCATCAACTGTTGCAACTTTAACAAAGGTATCTGATATTTAAAATAAATGAATAAATTATTTTTTATTTTAAAAAAATCATTGCAAATTAAAATAAAATGAAAAAAAGTGAAGTTTGATGCCACGAACTGTGGTCACGTAGAAATTATTTGGTGAATATTCAAGAATGATTTCAGACATGAACATCATATGTCAGCATCAAACAAAATAGATCCATCAAACCTGACCATAAACTGATCAACAACCACAACATTCAAACACTAACATACGTATGTGTGAACAGATAAACAGACTACAACATAAACACGCGTTGCCATTGACACACATCAACTTAACGAACATATCCAAGCAGCAAACACATAGCACTAGCAACATACATTCAGACAAACAGCAAACACATAGCACTAGCAACATACATTCAGACACCTAAAGTGAAACGTCCTACCTTTAAAAGCAAACAATTATTATGCATTGACAGATAGAAATATGAAAAATGTGAACCTATAAACAATACAGAGAAAACGTAAAT